CCCACCCCTCCCCACCAGTAGCTGTTTATTTAACTCCATGTCAACATATTTCTTTTGGATCTCTGTATATAGAGGATCTTCTTTATTTATGATTTCAATTCTTCCTCCCATAATTTGTAACTTCTTCAGTAGATGTTTATGTAACTCTACATCAATATATTTCTTCTGCTTCTCTCTGCTTCTCATGTATCCATCCAATCTGCAATCTGATCTACATTTCTAGGAGAAGGCTTCTTTTATTTATTCATAATGTTTGAAACTACCTGCTACTTTCTACACATTATGTGAAGTTCTTGGTATGCGTGAGGCAATATCTGTTGTGTCTGGATAGGCTATTGAGAGATCCTTATCTTTATCCCACTATTGATAAGTTTTAGACTTTAATTATTCTTTCCAAGTGAGTTCCGCACTGGTAGCCTTCCTTTTTGATGGTCTATGGACAAATCTGTTCCCTGTTTCTTGTGGCAAGCTCCTCATTTTGTTGACTTTTGAGGTGGAAGGAACTGAGATCTCCTTCGCCTATCTTTGGTGGGCCCATTTCTCTATCTTGTCTTGAAATTTGATGTAGGGAGGCTGGAGAGGTTTCCACAGGAAGTAGGTAAAATCTCAAGAGTGTTTCCAGGGATATATTGTTCAGAAAAGTTCCAGAAAAGTTACACTATCCCAATAGTGCAGCTCTTAGGTCTCAGCAGTTGTTAATGGCCATGTACTGCTCTGTTACCTTCTCCTTTAGCTGGTTGGGAAGGGAGTTACTTCCTTGTAAGAAGAAGATTCAGGGAAGAGATGACTTCTAAACAGTGTAGCTCCCAATTTTGACTACTTTCTCATGTCCAGAGCTGCATGCTCTTTCTCCTGGCAATGGTGATGGGGGTGGGTAGCTATTCCCACCTGAGCAGACAAAGATTCAAGGAAGCAATTACTTCATAACAATGCATCTCCCACTTCTGACTACTTGCTAATGTCCAAGCAAAGCTGTGATAGAGCTTTTCTTGCCTAGATTCCTCATGTCCTGGGTCTGGCTACCTTGGCTTAGGTGTTGACTTCTTCAGATGAAGGGAGGGCAATTCTCTCTGTGTTAAGATCTCACTGATGCCTGGGCTCACAGGAATCCCAATTGAAGAGTTCAACAATCCAGGGAAGGAGAGGGAAACTCACCCTGTCTGAAGTCCTTTCTTCTCCCACAGCTGGCAGGAAGACTTGCCTTGGTTTGGGAGTTTGTTGTTTCCAAGGGAAGAAAAATCAACTTTTCTTGGCTGGACCTGCAGCTTGGAAGAAAGCTAGACTTGACTGGGAGCTCACAAAGAGGGCAATTCACCCTACCTGGCGTCCTCTCTGATCCTGCAGCAGTGGGAAAGTTCCTCTGGCTTGGGAGTTTTCTGGATGGGACTTTCACTTCTCCAGGGAAGGGGAGGGCAATTTGTTCTACCCAAAACCCTTTCTGGTCCTGCACAGTGGGAAATTTCACCTTTTCTAAAATATTTAAAGTTCTCTCTGGTTCATGACACGGTTGGCAAGATTCCCTGGTTGGGGATCTCCCTCTCCTGGGAAAGAGAAAGCAATTTGAAGTATCTTACGAAGTCCTCTCTGGTCCCATAAGGAAGGCTCAGCAGGGAACTTGCCTTGCTGTGGCTCACCTTTCCCCATGCTTACTTTTAGAACTTTGGAGAGGTCCTTGACAGAAGATTTTCTTGATTCAACACATCTTTTGATGTTATCTGCTGTTATCATGAGTATTAATTGTAGAATTTAGTAAAATGAAATCACTGACAATTTCAATTTTTTTCATAACTTATTATTATGATGTTGTTAGGTTCCCTATTGTGAGAAGGGGCACAATAACCTGAAACTTGACTTTTATTGAAATGGATAATTAAGTAACTTCTAACTACACCAAGCTGAGGGACAACATTTTCATTATAAATCATAAGGACAGGTGTTGGAAAGAAGATATGTTATCCTGTGTTTCAACCTAGGAAATTTGTCTTCTATCTTGGCTAAGCAGGAGATAGATGACTTGCAAATTAATAATATGATTCAATCAACTTGAGATATAATATTTGATTATGTTGTTTTTATTTTGTATCATTGGGTAGGAACCAAACCATAGCTGACCTTCCAGGAGGTTTTTAGAAGCAGTTTAATCACACAGGAGGGGATTGCCCATCTATCTTCTGCTGAACAACTCTGAATTTGAATTTTGTGCTTTTTGGATTGCAGAGCAGCCTCTTGCCATTTTTGATCTTAGCTTTCATAAGATATATTATCCTGAAATTGAGTTGCCTTATAAACCTTGTGTATATATTATAAATATTTACCTGATACCTAAATAAATAAAAAAAAAATTTGATGTGTATTTGCTCTTTAATGATTCAGTATAAACTTAACATGCTTGTTATTTAGAACAATGTGGCACAAATATATTCATAACTGAGATGTTTTAAAACATCTTCTGCTTGAGTTTAAGAATAATAACCAACAGCTCATCAATTACTTTGAGAAAGCCACTTTTTAAAATGTTGATTTGTTTTGATTGTTTGTTTTTACCTTATGCTGTGTTATATATCTGGTAAATGTCATGCATTAAATGTAAACAAATTAATGTTGTTATAGTCTCCTTTTGAATTTTCCATTCCAGAATTCTTTCAAGATAAACTGGAAATTGTCTTCACTTAAGAAAAAGATGATGTCCAATTTCTTTAAAGGGTCTGAAAAAATCTGATTTCTATAGATACGACCATTATCCCTGAAAGCCAATTTTTCTTTTCTCCCTGTACTTCTGCTGTGTTGTCTCTTTTACGGGGTCCTACAATCTATCAAATGCTGCTTTCTAAAATTAATTAATTTTAGTTAATGATTCCTCAAATTCACAAGTGAAAATCTAACACACTTAAAAAAAAACAAACAAAAAACCAAACTCCGAAATATTTGCTACCAAAATCATTATGGAACTTTTATAGTCTGTTGTGTCGAAAAAATAAAATTGCAATATTGGTTTGTCTAGCAAGTCACCTAACACATCATTCATTGAGTATTCCATAGGAACTTTTTCAAACTTTATTTCTTTTATAATTTTTGTTTGGGAGAAAGCATAATTTCTGTTTTGGATTGTGACTTAATAAAAACCAGTTAGTAACATTTTTAAGGTTATTGCTCTGCTATTACATAATTTGTCAAATTTTTTATATATGAATATTTTTATCACCTTTAACCAATGCCTTTGGCGGTATATAAATAGTCTATAGTGTCCCAAAGTTCACATTTCTCTAGCAGTTCAAGTACATCTGGAGAAAGATGGTTGTCTCATCTCTTACAATTTCAGCTTGGCAAACCCATTGAAAGTTCAGTTATAAATAATTTATCACATTAAAATAATGAGCTTGAGTGGGGGTTTTTATGTTTTGTTTGCTTGCTTGTTTTTTATTATTTCTTTAGAGTCTTTCTTAACAAAAACTCTGTGCTCTGAACTAAATAATTAGTAATTTGAACTCATGAAGAAATAGCTTCGGCTAAAGGCCTGGTGATTATTTTTTTAAAGATCTTACCCACGAAAATCAAAAGTAATGACATTCTTCTATAACTAGTGAGGGTTTGCCATTAGCTAAAATCTTCACTACAACAGCTCTTGAAGATAGGCACCACTTACTGTACCACTGGATGGCATACTGTTGTAGAACTCTCATTCACATCATATATATATGGAATCCTCAAATAAAAAAGTAGATATATTAGCAGAGGTCCTGTGTATTCAGCCAAAAATACCTGAAAAGAAGAAAATTATTTATGTAAAACAGTATGTTTTTAACATGCAATCAAGCTTTAATTGAAATATTATTTACTCTTGATAACGAGCATGTCCACAGTCTATTGCACAAAATTAGTGGACAGACTGATCTACTAACTTGTTTAATGTTTTAAAGAGTAACAGAACTCTTTAGAGCAAAAAAAAAAAGGAGTAAACAAAGGAATAAGCAACCTTTGAGCTCTGGCTAGGTTAAGAAATATCCATGAAATATTGCAGCTTTTATTTTACAGTCTGTTACCAAAGGTGAATTTTACTTATGGAATAAGAAGCTAGTGGGCCTAACTCCCAAGAATTGATTAATAAGATATAAGCAGAAATACAGAAAGATAAAAAAAAGAGTAAAACTTACAATTTCTTGATTTTTGCTATCAGTCTTTGCAACATATACAATGGCAAAGAATGTATAAAGTAAATTGGCTGAAATAAAATTGAACAAAAGTTCTATCAGGACAGAACTATTCTCCTTAACCTCAGACTGTGCCTGTTGTTGTTGTTATGTGCCGTCAAGTTGCCTGCAACTCATAGCGACCCTATGTACAACAGTTCTAAACCCTGTTCTATCCTGTGCCAATCTTATTGTCTCTGATTCACCTACTCCCATTACCCTAGTCACTAAATCAATCCATCTCTTTGAAGGTCTTCCTCTCCTGCACTGTCTCTCCACCCTCCCAAGAATGACATCCCTCTCCAAGGACTGGTCTCTCCTTGCAATATGTCCAAATTATGTCATATGAAGCTTCAGAATCCTTGTCTCCAAAGAGCACCCTGGTTTCACCTTCTCTAGGACGAACCTGTTTGTTTTGTTAGCAGTCCATTGTATATTCAAAACTCTTCTCCAACTCCAAAACTCAAAGGTATCGATTCTTCTTCTATCAACCTAGTCATTGTCCACCTCTTTTATGCATAGCAAGTGATTGCAAAGACCATGGCCTGTACCAAGTGCACCTTAGTCTCTAGACTGACGTGATTGCTCTTCAGTACTTAATATGTCTATTAATTTCCTGGCTGCTGGTGCCAAGAACGTTGATTGTGGAGCCAAGTAAAATAAAGCTGTTAACAATCTCAATCTCTTTACCATCTATCACGATGATGCCAATTGGTCCAGTGGTGAGAATCTTTGTTTCCTTGATGTTGAGCTTCAGTCTATATTGAAAGCTGCAGTCCTTGACCTTCTGCAACAAGCAGTTCAGGTCCTCCTCAGTTTCAGCAAGAAGGGTTATGTCATCTACATAATGCAGATTAGAAGGGAAAAAAATACACAAACAAACAAAAAAAATGTGGAAGCAACCAAAAATACTTCTTTGACCAATGATCACAAAAACAATAGTCCGCATCAGAACTCCCTTTCCAGGGCTTGATGTTAAAGGAAGCTTCCAAGTATGCTTAACTCATAGTGACCACTTAGGTCTATTAAATGAGTGGAAGTGGAAATCACGAGAACCTCATTTTCAGGCCTTAACATTAAAGGAAGTAGGCAAGTATTCTTAACTTCTGGTGACTGCCTGTGTCCACTTAATGAGTGGATGTGGAAGACATGCAGTAATTAAGATGCAGTCTAAATTTGGACATATTTCCTCAGCACTGTTTTCCTCTAATGATAAATGGATATGTAAAGAAGAGTTGCTGGTTTATTAAAAAGAGAGTCAGGAAGATTCTTGATATGTTGGCTTTACTCATGTGAGGCTAAGGCTGAGTGAAGGGACCAGCCAATCTGAAACACAGGAAGAATTGTGGACTCTTGAATTTGTGGCTGATGCCTATATGGACCTAGCCACAGATGGCTGAGGTTGCATTGGCAAGAATACAAACAGTGTTAGGAAAAAAAGTGAAAGTAGGAAGCATTAGAACCCCCTTTCCAGGGCTTAATATTAAAGGAAGCTGATAAACATGCTTAACTCATTGTCACCATCTGGATTTATTTGATGAGTGGAAGTGGGAATCATCAGAACCCACTTTGTAGGACTTAATGTGAAAGGAAGCTGGAGTGTATGCTCAACATGTGGTGACCACATGGTTCTACTTGATGAGTAAAAGTGGGAGACGTGGCAGAGGCAGAGACAGCATGGTGAGCTGCAGGAGCAGTGAACCACTTAAAGCAGGGCTATTATGGCCTTCTACAGACTTTAGATTATTGATAATTGAACACTTAAACAGTTGATGACTGGCCCTCAGTGAAGATCGAGGCTCAACAACAGGAACTCAAGGATTCCCAAGGAGGAATGGGTGAGTCTCTGGCTCCCAACCCCCTCCCGCAGAGCCCGTGCCACACTGCACAGCCCCTGCAGCTCCATGAGGCTTCCACAGTTGGAACCAATGGATTCCCTCACCCAGGATGGATGCTGGGCACTGGTCCTCCTCAAGACTGTTTCAGTGAAGCCACCACACTGCCGCAAGGTGGACTTGTTCTGGAGAGAATTCTTGGAGCCAGGATGGCGACAGTGGGGGAAGTGGCGCCAGCAGGCCACCCGCACAAGAGGAGCCATGCAGCCGCCAAGCACCCGTGCGGCAGGATGGGGGGGGGGCGTGCCCCCAACGGCTGCCAGTGCTGGGGGGCACACGCCCCGCTGGCCATCTGTATAGGAGGTGGGGAATGGAATTCATGTTAGCCATCTGCAGGTTTGGGTTTCCTTGGGCAGGCCAAAGAAGACGATTACCTATACAATGGATTGCTGAAAGTCACTGTGAGTCTGATGACCTTAATAGTGGCAGCATGCACAAGAGGACCAACATCCTAAATGCACCACATATTTTGTTCTGTTGAATGATTCTGCCAAAAGATGTTTAGACTTGGGGGGAGTCTGTTCACAATTCTCAGGTTCCCTTTATCATATATAAAGGGGGAGGGCAGTGACACTTACTTCAAAATATAGTATGACCACTTATGGGGGGGGGAGTGGCAGTGCTGGAATTGGAGACACTATCCCTGACCACAGATTCCTCAGTCAGGCGAGGGGACCAGACTGGGGTAGGGGCAATTGGAGGGGGAGTATACCAGCCAGCTCCTGGGGGGTGTTGCCCTGCCCGGGATGGGCTGCGCTTGGACCCTGGCTCGGGGTGAGCCTTCGCGGCCCTCAGCCCGGGGCGGGCTGCCCTCGGTCCCCGGCTTGGGGCGAGCTGTCGTGGCCCTCTGCCCAGAGTGGGCTGCCCTCAGCCCTCGGCTCGGGGTGAGCCGTCGCGGCCCTCAGGGTGAGCTCCTCAGTCCCCAGACTGTGCCATCTGACCCCTGGGTGGGGAAGGGGAAAAAACAAAAGAATGCCTAGGGTATCCAGAGAAAGTTACCTAGGCCACCTTCTGCCACCCGCCCCCCAGTAAACCTGAAACCAACACCCTCAAAGCCCTTCTATTTGTAACTCACAAGTTTGTTCTCTCTAGGTTTGCTCCCTTTCCTATGGGTAACCTTAACACTGAGTTTTACTCCAGAATTGATCCTGAACCCAGTGCCAGTGACAAAAAGGAAATACAACTGACAGCTAAGGAAGCAAAGGAGGATGGAGCCTCTGGGTTCAACCAGCCATCCTCACTGGATGCACCTGGGAAAACACTTTGCAGTCCATAGGGGAGCAAATTACAGGAAAATATCTTCTAACAGAGCAAGAAGGCAAGCAGCATTATCCCAAGACCACCAGTAAGGAGATAAAGCGTCCTCCCTTTCCCCCTTTACATCTACACCCCTGTTCAACCTGAAGAAGCCAGATAGTCGGCATCCAGTTCCCAAATCAATAAGACAGTTGGTTTAATTAACATTGGAAAATGCTTGTCATTCCTCTGTAGCATCTGGTCCCCACTGGACCCTCATCATTTCCTTCACCTGCTTCCCCCACCAACCAAACTGTGCAGCTCTGCAACTGCATCTGGCCCATCCTCACCCTTCTGCCCCCATCACTCACCTCCTTGTACCCCCAATATGTTTTTCCCAATAAAAGGGGAAAAAAGAGATAGGATGAGTTTGGACATATTTCTTTAACACTGTCTACCTAGCATGGCAAATGCATAAATAGTGTTTCTGGTTTGTAGAGCAGGAAGACATGAGGATCCCTGAGGTGCTGATTTAGTCCATGCAGGGCTAAGGTTAAGTGAAGGGACCAGCCTGTCTGAAATAAAATAAGTGTGGACTTAAGTTACTTGTACTGATCTTCCTTGTGTTTTTTGAGTCCAATCCTTTCTCCATTCCTAGGGTATTTCCTATTACATTGTGGGTCTGTAGCCTGTAACTTTATTTACACTCTCTTCCTGAATTTTTCCCTTTTCAGAATAATTTTGTGGAACCCAGACTTGCCCAGACCAATTTTTTTCAATGCAACACAGATTATTTTCTCATAAATAAATTTTCATGATAAATAATGAATCAAAGTTTTTCATTTGGCTCTGAGTCAGTTTGTTCTTTCGATGCACACTTACACAGAAGTTCTTTCTCTCCTAAGTATGAACACAAACAATGAGTGAGTTAAAATACGTGTATAGCTCAAATACATTGTGATTGAGCTATAACTGACTTATATTTTACCCTCCAGTATGTTTACAAGGTTGTATGGGAAGCAATTGTTCATCTTTCTCTAGTGGAGACACTGTGGGTTACAAATGCCAGAGAGGTGTGAGTTAGTAGCACAACTCTAAAGAGAAAACCAAAAATAAAAGAGAAAAATTGGAAAGATAATTATTGTAAAAACTAGGTACTCAAAGCGGATTATTGGGTTTGTTTGTTTTTGTTTTTTAATTTGCTGACTTTCCATCATTCAGCTATGCTTTAAAACTAAAGCTATGTTAAAGATACTTTCTGATTTTTTTTTCATACAGAAGAAAATAATTTATATTCTGGTATTCGTGGATTTCTAAGAGAATAAACAGTTATCTCCTAGAGAGGGTGAAACCAGACAGTTCCTTGGAAGCAAGGATGTTGAAGCTCCATCTGATATAATTTGAGAATGTTTCAAGGAGATACAAATCCTTGAAGAGGGAC